TATTATTATACTAGCTGACTCGGCATACGTTGTTTTGCTATATAAATTATTTGTAGAGGAATCGGAACACACGAATGAAGTGTTTGACAGTTTACACAGACATAGTTGACAGGTTGACAGGTACAGTTTGTATGCGAAAATAAAATTGTTGCTATTTGGACTTTCCATACATATTTTCCATAATTTTGGTTAAACCCTCCCTGGACTGCCACAAATATTTCAAAACAAAAATTAGACAAATCAGTCCAGCCGTTCTAGAGTTTTAGCGAGACTAACGAACAGCAATCCATTTTTATATATAAGAAGATAAGGCCTGCATAAGACCCACGCCCACACAAACCGTACTCACTTGTACAAGTTGCAAATAGTAAAAAATAAGCGCGCAACCGGTGCGCAGTGGTTTCAACGCAACGTCGACCTGCACAGTGACTGCAGACTCCCGACGATTCGCGAAAATTTTAATGATCTCACCAAACGGTTCTTCGACAGAGCCGAACATCATCCCTACCATCTGGTGGGAAGCGCTGCAAATTACCAACCCGCAAATAAGCGTCGCCCGCGCAACGTCCTCATCGACCCGGTCGAGGAAAGGGGATTTAAGTACGTAGGAACCGAGGGTTCTGTATTCGATGAAGCTTTAATAGTGTATGGACTGAAAGTGTAACATCAGTTATACAAAAAAAAAGTTTTACTAAATTTCAGTATTGTACGTACCAAGCCGGTATCGCGTTTAGCCCCTGTCTCCACCGGCAAGGTGTGTGTAACTTCTTTATACGCACAGTGCACACTTGTGCACGAAAATATTCAACTGAGCAGAGTTTCTGCATTCAGACATTAATTAAATATTTAATAAATGACTTAATTAAATAATTAATGACTATATTAAATTTAATTACCTAATAATACTTATGAATAAGTGTAAAAGTAGCAAAATACTGACAACCAAAGCTCAGAGAAAAAAAGACGGTTGGGATGAAATTAAACTGAAAGGGATTGGAGATGGGCTTACAGATGCTTCTTAAAAGAGTCAAGGGACGGGGTTTGTCTTATAGACACGCTGTGAAGCTCTGGAACAGTGAGTAGAGCTTCACAGCTTGGAGAGTAAAAGAAAAGGCATAAAATAAGTGGTATGAGAATGCATAGAAAGCGAGCGATAACGAGAAGAACAGAGTGAACAATTAATAGAATTGGACTGGTATTCAAAACGTTCTTGTAGTTACGAAGGAGTCGAAGGGTTAAACAGGATAGAATAAAGTAGGGAGAGAATGCGAAAATCTTTTCGACGACGGATCGGGAGCCAATATAACTGAGCCCGGTAAGAAGAGATACGGTCTTACTTGCGTAGATTGAAGATAAATCTAATAGAAAAGTTTTGGAGGCGTTCGAGTTTACTAAGAATCTCTTCTGTAAGGTTAGAATTACATGTATCGGCGTAATCAAGGATAGGTAAAAGTAGGGTATGTACAAGCGAGATCTTTGTGCTGGTCGGTAAAAAGTTCCGCAGTCGTCTTAAAGAATGATACGCTGCAAACACTTTTCTACTCACCTCAGCGACATGTGGCTTCCAGGACAAGGTACTATCAAATATCACGCCGAGATATTTAACCGTTTCGCTGTATGGGATATGGACGCCATCAAACATAACTTGAGGTAGTTGATCAAAGTCAACTCTGGATATGAACCAAGGGCTACTCACCACAATTACCTGTCTTTTTAGGGTTCAACGTGAGAACATAAGAGCGACTTGCGTTGATGGGTGCCAGTGAGTAAATTTGGAGGTCGTCTGCCTACGTCGTCATGTACGGTCGTCATGGTACGAAGATGTAAGAGAATGAGTTAAATTGTTAATGAAGATCGTAAAGAGTAAAGGGAAAATAACGCCACCCTGCGGTACGCCTGCACGTGTATCACACCAGGAGGAGAAGGCATCTTCAATCTTAATGCGCTGCTTGTGCCCATACAGGTAACTACGAAACCAGTCAATAGCCGTAGATATGTTAAGAGAGCGCAGCAGCCCCAGTAAGATGTCAAAGTCTACAGTATTGAAAGCATTACTGAAATCTTTCAGTCCATGCCCCAGCGAATATCATCAGAGATCTTAAGGAGAACAGTAGTTTGCTTAAAATTAAACGAAAAAGTAAAACGATTGGGTGAGGCTTGCTTCCTATAACGCAATGAGGTAACGAATAGATTTCTCGAAGAAATAAAAATAGATCCATTGAATTGATTTCAACCATGGGAAGATTTTGAGTTGCTGGTCAATGCAGTTAGTTACTTATCTTAGCGATACAAGATATCATAATTTTATCTTTCGTCCAATCCATATTTCACTGTTGGTAGGGCTACATAATAATCTTCGCTGTTGCATGAATGGGCAGGTCCCATGCTTGCATATATGCCCGCACAAAAGTATACAGCGATGCGAGGACATTTTCGAAATGTTTGTGCATAATTTGTTACTATTTGCTTTAGTGAGTCGACCAGAACAAACATTTGTGTCGAACACTGCATTACAGTACCGCAGAGTGTAGCACACTGGTGAAATCATGGAATAAAAAAACATGTGTTTTCTCTATTCTGATCATTAAGAGGATCATTCTGATCAATTCAGAGAATTTAACCATTCTTTTGGCAATTTAAATAACATTTGATAAGCCATGTGACAGTTGATTAATTAACTTCTACGATGTACAGTGTTTCAGAAACCGGCCGATAGAATAACAAATAATCAAAGGTTATACGACCGTGTATCTTCGTCAGAATTGGTATTGAGTCATTGCTTGTATTCAATATTATTCACAAAAAATACAGTTTCATGTTTCAATAATACTTGTGTACTAATTGACTATTCTATGATTCCCACCTAAATACTTTTGATACGTCCGCCAGTGGTTACGGAAAATTCTTACTCAGTGTAAGATTTAGCAAGAAAAGGCGAACATTATCTTTGCATACTACAATGGCAGAACAGATTTTATTCCGAATTTAGTGTGAAGGTCTGTCCAGGACCTTGAACTAAAACCTTTTAGATTGATGTAAAAATACATAGTTTATGTGATAGATATGCTTTGTACTCGTAACTTCATTTTTACTGTCATGGTAAAATTGCTATAAAAATATATTGTTTAACATGCAGCTGTCTTGGTTACTATGATACCTGTTAGTCATAATTAATACGGTAAACTAAATATAATTTACTGCTGCGTTAATTTACCCTTCTCCCACGAAGCAGGAGTATCGGATTGGCATGATGATATAGATTGAACAAGGGTTGCGTTTCATATCGGAAAAGTACATGTTCTCTTTGGGATAAATCAGAAGTTTAATTCATTCAATATTAACGTACCGCCGTCTACTGCTAGACGTAAAAAGCTAAAAAGTATCAGCCTATACATGTCCCACTGCTGTGCAAAGGCCTACTCTATACAGAGGGTATCAGGGCATAATCAACCACGCGTCCCCACTGCGGATTGGCGGACTTCACATATTATCGAAATATATTTTTTTTTGCTTTTATTTCGAAAATATACAGGTTTCCTCACGATGTTTTCCTTCACCGCGGAGCACGTGATAATGGACAAAGTGCCCCAACTATCCCGGTGCTGGACAGCTCGCATCCATCCGCTGCCTTTCTTAAGCTGACGACTTAGAAAGGTGGCGGGCAGAGGATGGATCCATCGTGCTGCAGGTCGTCCAAAACTACGTTTTCCTAATCATCTTGCCCACTGTAACACGTGTCGGCTCCTGTTTCATTAGATTATATTTTGTTTTATTTAATTCCTTTGCCTTTTAAAATAGCTTAATGGGTTATAAACTTTTAGTCTGAATATATTATATTTATATATAGTAATATTATATTCTTCGACGTTGGAATCCCCAGTTGCCAATCCTTCCTAATAAAGTGGTCAATAATCAAATTTTCTACCGACGTTCCTAGTCACTATAAATATATATTATTTATATACATACATAATATTCTATGTTAAAGAACCTATTTATACTAAAATGTAACTAAAATTGGTGGTTTACCAGTCTTTCTATTTTTCCTTCAAACTTACATTCAAAAATTGTCTATTTTTACATGTGTAAGACTTGGCCTAAAATCAAATATGAGGAGGATTTAGCTAGGCAGTAAGATATATGAACATTCACTGGGGCAAGTAAAAAAAACAAGAGGAATTAAGCGTTGTGAAAAGATGACTCATCGCACCTTGTGATTTCGGGCTAATTAACGTCAGACAACGCGCAGTCATCGTTTCATGAGCAATCTTTAATTAAAACGTGCACGGGGACAGCCCTTTTATGTGGTAAGTTATTTTATGCGGACAACTACATACACATAACCTGCTCGGAAGTTAAACGGAAGACGGCCGAGATTCGCATTATATAATTTGAGTGTTCGTAACTTTAATAAAAAAACAGAAAAAAGCACTTAATTTGTTGGAGATTAAAGCTCAAATTACAAATACATCTTACATGTAGGACGGGGACGACTTTTCCTTGCTAAACAAGTATGGTAATGACAGCCATCTCGGCAAATGGCCGTCGTCGTCCGTAAGTCAGGCTGTTTACCGCTTCATGAAAACAATCCAGTTTTGTATAAATATTCATAACATAATATACTCTAACATGTTATATATATATTTGGCCAAAAAAAATCGAGGCATGCAGCGTCAAAGCGATATCATCACGAGCGACGAATTGAGCTGTGCGATTTTATATCAGCACAGGAGAGACGTGAATCATTTGTTTAGACCTGACACATCGTCCGCAGACCGCAGACTGCGCTAAGAGGAGTTTCGACCAACATTTTTGCAACGAGTTTCAATAATCATGGTTATTGCTTTCTACTCGTGCCGTTAGATGGTCTTAACGTCACTTCACTAGTTCGCGTTAGCTGCATGCAAGTTCAGTGATTCTCTTAAACAGTTGTTGTTTTGACGTAGGAACGGGAAAAAAAATTGTTTATAATAATGTGGAAGTGTTTCCAGTGTGTTATTATGTTCGTTTTACTGTATCTACGTTCAGTTCAATGTCGTGAGTATTTTTGTATTAATAATAATAACAAAAATAATACGTTTATAAGAATTAAACACTAAAAATAAAACGTGATCTCCCATTGTATTGGTAGTAAAAAGAATAACGGTAGGTATGAAAAAATTCTAGTATAGTCTGTGGTCTTCCACGGTGCCATTAGTTTTCTAAAATGCGACAGTTTGCAAAGGACCTTATTCGGCACTTATTCCATGGTAATAAGAGATCTCTTAATTTAATAACAACTTAGTTAATGTCATATGTAGTATATAACATTCTCATTCATTTTTGTAGTCGAATGGTTCAGAAACTTCTGATAAATGTAAACATTATTCTATTTTTAAGGTTAATGTTTGCGTTGATCGAATATCAAGCTAGTGCAATACAAAAAAAAATTAAGTTTATGTTACGTCTCTCATCCAGTTTCACCCAAAACAGCAGATAGCTTTTGGTTAACATGAAATTAAAGATGTTTGCAAGCCGTATTTACTAAATTAAAAACGCTTATCGTTATTAGGCTATAGTTATTGTTAGAATAGACGTGTTTCTGTAAGTATTAAACAAACTGCTAGTATTAAACAAAGTTTATGGCCCAAATTTGTGATATCGATTCTCAATCTATTTGTAAGGAGTATATTTGACTTTGAAATCGATTAACCGGATTTTCTATTATACGAAATGCCTTTGGTTTTATTTGGTTCAGATAATAGGGATTATACTATAGTATATAATATTATAATACGTTTAATATTTGTTTACTTAACAATGCTTATATTATTTTTCTAATTAAGTAACTTGATACATTTTAAATACGCCGTCAGGTTCTGAAAGTAATTTTAATAATATATTATTATTTACCTACTACTGACGTAGTCGCGTGTCGCCCGGCAGCCACACGCAAAAGTTCATTACAATAACGAACCCATTTAGTTTGAGGCAATAAATGCTAAATCTAAGTAATTTAAAGATACGATTTTAGTCGTAAGTCATATTAAATATGATAAATACTATACTAAATGTATGTAATATCATAAATACAATACTAAATACTTCGATAATTTTAAAATTTTTAAAAAGCATATCGAGTTACTAAATCAATTACAAAATGAATAAGTTTGAGATTTAAAAAAAAACCTTTTTTATCTGTATTTTGAATTTATTTTATTTTGAAAAACTTCGTGCACAAAACACTGTACATAGGCGATCACAAATACACAACAGATCTACATGTAACTGAGATCTGTCGCTGGGTAACAGGCATACTTCGTTTCATTTATCGTCTTAAAGCCTTCTTGCCTTCCTACCCTAAGCTCCTTCTCGTTCAGTCCTTTATTTTTTCATTATTTACTTTGCTGGCGTCTGTCTTACTAACATTTCCCAGGAGTTGCTGAACAAGTTGGTAAGACTAATCAATTATTGCATACGATTTTTGTCTTTGGCCTGTGCAAATATGACCACGTGTCACACTTCCGTTCTCAATTGTATAGGTTGACGGTACGTCAGCGCAAAGACTCGTATCTTGTATACTCTGTCTTTAATCCTTTATGACCACTTATCACCTTCTTTCTAAAAGAAATATTTCAGTTCCAAAGGGACTTGCATTCCCTCAACCTTCGCTTTTTACAGAATTCGTTTCTGTCTCAACCTTCTCATTACTTCTGTTTTAGTCAAACTCGGCCGTGTCAAGCGACCCGCCACGGCTTCGACCGGGTGCAATGTATTATACATATAAACCTTCGACGTGAATCACTTTATTTAGTAAAAAAAAACCGTCTGGATCCGTTGCCGTTGCAATATTCTTGTGTAATTCTTTCACTGTCACTTCTATCTCACTTTGGAACATGTCGCCTGCGACAATCGCGAATAAATAATATTTTTAAAAGAAAACTGTTTGATCATACCTTTGCTGGTGAAATCCAGTCTTCGCTACAGAATAGTATCACTGTGTTTTAAAAATAAATTTAACAATCTATCTTCCGACATCATCTTCTATCATATTTTATAATTATCTTATCTATTATCTATATATTATCTTATCAGCGATAAATATGTATGCACAAATGTTCCGCTTACTTTACTGTTGATAATAGGACGTTAATAAAGCGAACGTCAAGTTGGCTTCAAATTCAGAATTATTAACTTCTAAAGCCTCTTTAGAGGTTAATTCGGCCCCCCCTAAATATATTTAAAGGTGAATTCTAACATCTCTAAATATATTTAGAGGTGAATTCTAACATGTCTAAATATATTTAGAGGTCAATTCTGATATTGTATCAGAAGGTACTTCAAATTATTTTTCGAATTTTCTGCAACATAACTTAATAAACACAAAAAAAGTAATTATCTTTTATATTCTCTTCTAATATATTAGTACTAATATATTCTCTTATAATATATTAGTTGTCAACAGATTCAAACTCAATATTAAAACAACAAAACACACAAATACTTTTATTGCCATGACACTATGCAAAATTCAACAAAAGTGCCCATTGCAAACACACTTGGTGTGTGGTTGCCTGTTTTTCTCCAATTACCATTTATATAAATAAACATCAAACGATCGAATGGTCGAACAATGTGGAAAACAGACTACTATTAGTAGGGGAGGCTAAGCGGGGATTTCGGGATTTACTCGAGCGCGGCAGATTAACATACAAGGGGATACCTTGTACCCGGTTAAGTACCTCCATATGAGCCCCATATTTACCGTATACCCCATATTTGCCCGTCAAGGATAAAGGATCAGATTAGTAAAAAAAAATGATCATCTGAGATTCTCGAGCGCGTCAGATTAAAGTAGGATGGGTTAATCACGTGCTAAAAAGTGTATATTCCACTAGTCTGACAATTTGAGAGTGAGTAAAGAAAGGGGAGGGCTACAAAGTTGTAAAAAAATCTCATCTCTACATTCTCGAGCGTGGCTCAATTTTTTTTATTTTGAAGGAAATAATTCCAGGATAAGGAAAAATATATATAATAATTTGACGATTTCCACAAGCCGAAGTAACAAAAATTCGTCGATAAAGTTTAAGGCTCTTAAAGGTAATCGAGTCCTGCGTCCATAAACAACCATCTTGTTTTGTTTTTAGAACCAACTTGTTAAGTCCTTTTTAATCCGGATTTAGACTTGGTCATAGTACCACCACCGCTCTCCTTAAAGTGATAGATCCCCCATCCTCCTACAAAATAAGGTTAAAAATTTAGGTTTGACGGGACGTTTTGTTAGAGAGATCAAATAGCTAGTGTCAGCCAAAGAGTAACTAGTGCCTTGCGCTGTCTTTACAGACTTAAAAATTTCCTGGCGATAAAAACTAAAGCAACGCTCGTACAGGCCTTAATATTTCCTTTAATGGACTATGGTGACGTTTGCTACTTTGACCTGAATGCAGACCACCTCAATAAATGAGACCGACATCTGAATAACTTCGATTCGTCTTCAATCTCCGCAAACATGACCATGTATCGTCGTATCGGTCACTAGTAAATTGGTTAACCATTCGTTAACGACGCTCCCTAAGAGCCCTGACCACACCTTTTCTTACCTTGATTCCTTATTTACTCCTTCATATTTATCTCCTCACTTCCAATGCCTTAGCACAGTCAACGTCAAGAATCTTCGCTCGAAACATAATGGGCTTTCTGTTATGTCCTCCTCATCGATACGATTTTATCCATTCCTCTTTCTTTGGCCAATCTATCCTTCTTTGTAATGAGCTCCCTCTCAAAATTAGAATGGCTAGAATCACTTTGCTTTTAAGAAAATGGTACGCAATTACATTCTGGGGAAATTGCCAGCAGTTTCATGACATCATCAGATATAAATGTGTATATATATGTATAATATAATAAATATCTATGTTTAATAAATGAATAATATATATATATGTTTTTATATATATGTCTGTATATATGTATATGTAAAGTTATACTTAATTGTATCGTTTAAAAGTATTGCTAATATTAAAGACAATCTTTATTGATCTAATATTTACAAGATTAAATCTATCTAAAATTACATATTATCTAATAAACCTAATCCACGCGGCATGGTGCCAAGAAATGGCACAAATACATAATCTGAACATAAAGACTCATATTTGCGCCATTTACTTACTTCAGCTGCCTCCGATGCCGCCCCGGCCCTGACCGAAGTACCCCTTAGATGAGAGGCAGCCAAAGTGTCTACACAAGTGGCGTCCCAAACAAGGGCTTTGCCTCTCTCCCAAGGGATCAATGTTAAACCGTCGGGTCTCTTACCATCGTCGCGTAAAATGCCACATGGCTCTAAAATAGATGGAACATTGATGGAAACAAGAGCCCTACGGATGATGTCGTTCAGGGGACCGTGGCGAGAAAAACGGCCAGCACTTTTTTGACAAGAAAGCCCGTGGAGACCAAATTTGTCTACACTGACACCACAAGGGCATTGGTGTGGTTGACAAATCGGTGCCCCCAGACGGATTCCTACAGCAATGCGTAAGCTTTCATCGTCAAGTAATGTGCCCAAGTTACTTGATGGTAAAGCGTGAAGCCAATAACTCGATTCTTTAGATGAGACTCCTAGGAAACGGGCACGCTCTAAATTACTTTCTAAAGATTGAAGCGTATCTCTCTGTACTCTCCGCACCAAAGGAACATCCCACTGTTTTTGTAGGTTTACTTCCAGTGGGATATTTTCGTTGGAACAGATAGACAGCCAAGACATCCTTGCCTCCTCTGCATAGGAAAGTTCTGAATCGTGATTAAGGATGTTATTACATAAATTATTTACGCTATGCACGGAAGCAAGGAAGGCAGGTAGAGCGACACTAGAAATTTTCCTTACACCGATACCACCAAAACGAATTGGCAGCGTAGCTTGAGTCCAGCTTAATTCATTAAGAGATAAATTTAGAATTTTTTCTAGAGCTGATTTAAGATGGAAATCAATTTCGTTCAAAAAGTCACCGCATTTCCAAATTGGACTCGAGCGAAGGAGGTACGTAAATTTAGGTACAAGAATACAATGTCGCAAAATAGTAAGCGCAATAAGCGAATTTAGTAAAAACAATTTATTGACATGATCTAAAAATTGACTTAACTTTAATTTTAAATGAGGTTCTAAACTTGGTATCAACAAAGGAGCACCTAATACAATTCTATCTTGCTTGATAGAATTGTATTATGTGGTATATATTTATATTTAATAATTATGTTTTCTTTTCTTTTATAATTTGTGTTTGTGCACCTACTTGAACTTCTCAGTACTATCCTAAGGTTGACTGGTAAAAATGCTGTCAGCATTAAGACCACCTAATATGTACTATGTTTTGTGCATAAAGTTTAAAAATTAATAAATAAATAATGCGTGCAGCTGCGTGATGCCTATGTTCCCCTGTCTGCGTTCTATTCCTCTCTCATTCTTTCTCTATCTATTACTCTGTCACGCCGTCCCCACTCTGGTTTCTTTTGCCATGATGATTAATTAATTAATTATAAAAAAATATTTTTTTGGCATATTCTTTAATTACTTTCTTATAAATTACACGTATTCTACTTAAAAAACATACACTTTTTCATTTGCATGCTATTTCCTGACCTGTTCAATGAATTAAGTTCAATCATGAAATCAAATCTGACAAAAAAAAAATATTTTTTGAATTTTTCATTTTCAACCCTTACGTTTCACGCAAACGATTAACATACGTACATTATTAAAAATACGTAGGACATTGATGCTATCAATATCTGACGCGCTCGAGTATGTTCATGTAACAGTATTTTTTTACATATTTGAATATCTATAGGCGCTCTCCCCACCGATGAAAATGTATCCATTATATAACATTTTTTTCTTCTTATCAACTAAGCTTTGCAAACCCAATAGGTCTGTATGACGTTCGAGTAACTCCCCATTTAGCATCCTGTTAAAAAAATATTTAAAATTAAAAGTAAACTAAAATAAATAAAAGTGTAGTGCTTCGCACGGGTGCAATGTATTTCTTTTTCGGCTGGATGAGCCACTGGTGGCCTTAGGGGCTTTCACAGATCCGACACACTTGAGGTGGCCTGGCGCACGGGGCACCTAACCTGAACCTCCTGAACGCGCCTGAACGCGTTATAGTGACTAAGCTCGAATGCACCCGAGGGAGCCTCGGCTCGGGCCGTCAAGCTATTATTATTACCGGTTTGGGAGGTCGCCAAGGTCTTAGGGCGCTTTGGCGGACGCTCCATGGAGTGACCAAGCTCAAGGGTCCCCGAAAATTTACCTCGGCTTGGGCTGTCACTCAATACGCGTTTAGCATTCCGATTCGAAGGTGCCCGAGAGGGCCGGACCTTTACTCGATCGGTAGCTATTATCTGACTGGGCAATGTATTATACATATAAACTTCCTCTTGAATCTCTCTATCTAGTAAAAAAAGCCGCGTCAAGATTGCGTAGTAGATCTAAGCAATAAGCATACATGGGGACAGACAGACAGCGGGACGACTTTGATTATACTATGTAATGATTAAATATAGATTAACTAATTTTAACATAAAGTTGGGTTGGTGGTATTGTAAACTAATATATATATTATAGTAAAATTATGTACAGTAATATCACCATCTACGGTCACAATTTATTTAACATTTCAGCAGACTTTCAATAAGGTCGTAGGTTGAAGAGACTAGCCAAGAATAAATTTTTATCTTGCCTCTTTTACAGAACATTGTCTTATATCACAGTGGTTAAATTCGCGCTATTATGTACAGAAATGTCTTCACGAAGATTGAAGCGTCTCGGTAAACATATTAAATACTTGGCAGTTGAAGTTTAAAATATACTGCAAGCTGCTGTTGCTCCAGGCAATTTTAAAAGTCAAGAATTAGGTTTCTTAGTGTATTCAGATTTTAAATGTGTCTATTCCGTATTTTTGAATAAACTTTCGAGCAAACTGACTTGTGGTTCCGGAGCCTGCATCAATTTAATTGTCAATTATAAAAGCTGATTTTTCACGTGCTCAGATGTAAAGGATAACAAATTGAACAAACTTGTATATTTTCGAAACAATAACAAAAAAAAAATCCAAAGATATGTGAAATTCGCAGTAGGGTCACGTGGTTGGTTGTCTTTGCCCTATTCCTACTCACAGTATAGAGGAGGCCTTTGCCCAGCCGTAGGACATACATAATATAGGTATAGGCGTACATTTTACTTTACTTTTCTAATATCTTAGAGGACCCTTAGAGTAAAATCGGGATCTGCATGTTAATTATGATCAAGCAACTGCTATTGAATATCAGTTGAAAAAAAAACTTCACAAGTATTTTCAATTCGTGCAAACGCTAAAGAAAAAATATAGCAAGTAACGAAAACTAAATGATATCATTTTCAGAATATCCTGGAGCTGACTGCGTGGTGCAGGCTGAAAACCAGCCAGGAACATGTGTGCTATTGCAAGAATGTATTCCACTTATCAAAGAGATAAAAAGGTGCGGCCCTTCAATAACACCGCATTTAAGGAGAAAGTTACAGACTCTCTCATGCGGTTTCCAACAGGACCGGCCGTTGGTATGTGTGGTTATATTATTCAGAAATAAGTATAAACTTTTCTTTTATTATAAGCATTAAGTTTGTGCTGAAATGTGAGTGCAGACATATTTTAGCAGGAAAGACTTTCACAAAGGTGTTTTGTTAGAAAAATTGCTTTTTTTCGTGAGAAGATGGTAAACGAGCTGGCGTTTTACTGATGTTAAATGATAGCCGCGGACCCCCGTAGGGTTGCACATGCGTTAACACCATTTAATAAAATGGGCCCCGGCTACCTCACTCACGAGACGGAACGCAGTTACGCCTTATCACGTATTTTATATGTTACTAGCGACCCTCCCTGGCTTCGCACCGGTGCAATGTATTATATATATATGAACCTTCCTCTTGAATCACTCTATCTAGTAAAAAAAAAAAAACCGCATCCGTTGTGTAGTTATAAAGATCTAAGCATACATAGAAACATACAGACAGCGGGACGACTTTGTTTTATACTATGTAGTGATGCACAGCAAAGAGACGTTTACATTTCAAGTGAGATTTTACCACAGTCACTCACTTGTTTTGCCTTCCCGGAACCCTTCCACTAACACTTAAACTGTATGGTATTAAAGTTCAAATTGACTTTTAAGTAATAATGTTTTGTACGGGAATATAGAAAATTGTTCTTTTTAGACTTTTCAGGCAATTTTTTAATTTTTTTCTTACATTATAACCTTCTCCTGATAATAACAAACACATAAAAAAAAGTGAAATTGATCTAGCCGTTGACTCCTGATGGCGTGACCAAGGGAAATATGGATAGATATCATCAATCTTGTATTAAAGTTCTCGACTTTCATAATACTTTAACGCTACCATATTGACGGAACAAACAAAGAATATTATCAGCGAGTGCCGATGTATTGTCATCAATATTACTGCAGTCATCAATATTTTGTCATGTATTTTTAACCACCGAAGGCTTCTATCCTTAAATCTATCCCTAATTTATCCTTAATATATTATATCCTGACATCTATCCTTAAACATGAGTTTTAAAAAAATACCAGCATGCCGTACCAGTTTGTTTATTTTCTCGACAATCTCCTTAAAAGTGATGACTGATTATAAATGCCTTCTTGCAGGTCTGCTGTAGTTCATTAACGGACGAGGATGACGTTAAAAGGAATGAGGATAATAAACACGGAACTCCAAATAATGTTCCAAACGATGGGCCCCGTGCGGTGACGAGCCATCCGAAACTAAAATTATTACCCACACAGTGCGGAGTCATTGAGAGCGACAGAATATTTGGCGGAAACAAGACACGATTATTCGAAATGCCCTGGATGGTGCTTATATCATACGATTCAGGTATGAGTTGAGGTTTCTAAATAGCTCTAAGATGAATATAGTCTTTGAATAGTTTAGTAGTTTTAAACAAAATGTACAAACTTCAATGTTAAATAATTAACACCACATTTTTTTCTTAACTTGATTAAGCAAACATTTGTGTTATATTGTTAACTAGCTGTGCCCGCGACTTTTTCCGCGTGGAATTTAAAATTAAAATAAATCTACAAGTAAAAAGTAGCCTAAGTTACTCCTTATTACATCAGCTATCTGTCAGCCCCGTCCCGTCCAAATAGGACCAGCCATTTCAGAGTTTAGCCGGAACAAACAGACAGACAAATAGACGGACAAAAATTTTAAAGATGTCATTTTAGTATAAATACCGTATATACATCCATGTGCATTTAGTGAAAAGCGGTTATTTTAATTTTACAAACAGACACTCCAATTTTATTTATCTGTACCTATAGATTGTAATTTTACATATTATGCTAAAAAACAAATATTGAATTTTAATTATGGTATCATCTCATGACTTTCTATAGGTATGTTGTACCTATGCTTTTACTACATGAATGCTACATATAAACAAAATTATGAAATTTTAATGTGTCTGTATGAGAAAACACTTTTATTAATAATGATCGAAATTGATCGCGTTCATTTATTTTCATTCACGGATACATTTGTGGTGTCATTAATAATTATAATAAATTGCATCATTGCTTTGTGTTTTATATTACAGCACGTGGCACAAAGCTGAGTTGCGGTGGTACTCTTATATCCGAGTGGTACGTTTTGACTGCTGCCCATTGCGTGAGCTTCCTGGGACCTCGGCTTAAGTTGACGGGGGTCCTACTCGGCGAATACGATGTGCGGAGAGACCCCGACTGCGAGAGAGTAGAGGGAGAGTTGAACTGCGCGCCAAATTCAAGGGTCAGTGTTTAGGGTGCACTTCATTACAATTCTCTCCCGATGTTTTAGTCTTCCGCCCGCCGTACAAACCTCCTTGGTAACAAAACCCCGACTCGGAGTAGTTATCTATGGAGCATACATATGAGGATATAACTGGCGCCGAAGTCAATTATATATAGCTATGTTAATTATATATAGCTTAGATGTAATATATATAGCTAAGCAAGCGTCACCGAGTCAAGAGTCTTCAAATTGTTTGTATTAAAACATTTCTCTTTTATATTATATGTTATCTTATTACGACTAAAAACTACATCATGTGGTATAATAATAATGCGCTAGCCAGGTGCTAAAAATATGTGAATGTGTGTATGTGTGACATAGAAACGATTGTAGTAACGTCATCGAGAATCAGTTGGTATAGAAAAATCAAATTTTACTGCAAGGTTAAGGGTGTTTTACTCTGCTCTGCAGTAGTACACTAGGTAATCTAATGTTCTATTCCTTTTTTACGTGTCATTTCCCATTTATTTCAGAATGTTACAATAGATTCGGTAATAGCACATCCTGGTTATACTCCACAAAACTTGGCTGATGATATAGCCCTAGTGCGGCTATCCGAACGAGCGGACTTTACTTTGGGTAAGGCTGCTTCGTATTATCTTATAGGGGTATATTAGTATGGATATCATCGTGAAGTATCTAATTTTACTTCCGATTAATGAAAAGCAATCGTTTACCATCGTCTATTTCAATTGCCCGATGTGTTGGATGGGGATCCAAACAATCCAAACAGCAGGGTCTCGGGACCATAATTTGTGGGTTCCATAAATTGTTGTTCCAAAATGTATTTTGTGTTGCAGCAACTTAAACTTTATCTACAGTGTTTTCTCCACCAACTCATTCGTATTGTGTGATGTAATTTGTGTTGCAGCAAATTAACTGATATCTTCAGTCTTTACTCCATCAATTCTCAAAAAGCTCTTAGTTTTGGCTATCTCGAATCCGAGAGACAGTGACAGGGAGATCCGGAGTATTTCACAGAAGAGATGTTCGAAATACTTCGAAACAACGTCCGGCAGGAAATCAAGCTTTTTATTTTTTTTTTGATTTTGTAATAGATCCACTCCTGCTAATTTGTTCAAATAATTTAGATTTAACTTTTTTTATTCAGACAGCATGAAGCCAATATGTTTACCGACCACACCTCAGCTTCAAAGGGAGCAACTAGATGATTTAATGGGTGTTGTTGCGGGCTGGGGAGCCACAGAAGACGGGCTCCAATCATCAGTGTTGCTCAGCGTCGATCTGCCCTTCGTATCAAGGGATGCATGCCAAAAAGCTTATAATGGGTAAGCCGTAGTATCTTTCCCTTATTTTGCCCCTTTCTTATTTTGTTCCCTTTCTTATTTTGTTTACTTTTTTAAATTATTTTAAAAATCTAAATAGATGAAACTAAGTTAACATCTATAAAATTTTAGCTTTAATTATAATAAGTAATTGAACATGTTAATAAACATTAATTAACTCGCCTTAAAAATATACACATATTTAAGTTATGAGGTTATTAATACTTTAATTTTACATTTAAAATTATATTTCCAACAATATTCGAAACTGCAGGGACTAACCTAAACCATTTTTACAGTCGTTTATGGTATAAAAATATGTATATTCAATTCATGATAATAATGTGAGTTTGTATAAAATGCACATTATTTGATACAGGTTTTTCCATATTTTGGTATGTAACGTAATCATGTAAATTTTCATTATAGATCTCAACAAATCAGTCAAAAGCAGATGTGTGCTGGAGGCGTACAAGACAGAGATTCATGCGGTGGTGATTCTGGGGGTCCACTTATGTATCCAGGGAGAACAGCAGTTGGACTCAGGTAAAACAATGCCTCACCATTTATCATATGGTGGAATATCTTGACGACGCCAATGTGTGGGGTTAATGCTGTTGATACTCACGTAGGCTAAAATGACACTTGTTCTATTATATTGTAAACTAATCGTTTTAAAAAAGAGCAACTGTTGAGTTTCTTGCCGGTTTCTTCTCAACAGAAACTGCTTTCCGAACCGGTGGTAACTTACGAACGTATTAATTTTTATGTACAATTTTTGACATTTCATAAGAACGCGCAAGCGTTTATGTGAATAAATGTATTTTTGATTGATTGATTATGGGAATTTTACGAGTATCTCATTATAATTGAATCGATGTTTTTATAACTAATTCTTTTGAACTGGTTGAGTGTTGTAGTGTGAGGTTTTCTTGTAATGCATATTGGCTTTAAAAACCATTGTTGTTAACAAAGTTTAGGTTTTAGTATGGTATGCATCTATTCCAATTTAATTTTGTTTTCATTAAAGATTAATTAATAAATTGAAGAAGAATTTTACCCAATTTACATTTAACCTTCTATCATCATAAACAATAGCGAGCTTCAGTGGAATTTAACTTAAAAAGTAAAGTCTATGCCTACATATCCCACTACTTGGCAAAGACCTCCTCTTTTCACATCGGCAAAGGCCACCACCACATATCTTCGAAATATTTTTTATTGTTATTTTGAAATATGTAGGTTTCCTCACGATGTTTTCCTTCGCCGCTGATAACGTGATAAGTTAGTATTTGAAATTAATAATTTCTTTGGCGTTGCCACCGGGATTTGGACTAAGGTTGGTCGAGTATAATGAATTAAAAGCGAGCGCCCGAACACTGATCACGGCTCATGAATTTAACTTGGCATGAATATCATTAATATTAAGCCAAAATCACCACAAGTATATCGACTTCGGAACTCTATTCTTGATGAGAAAATCAAGTATAGACCCCCTTTCAACGTGTATGATAATTCCTAGATACGTCCAACGAGGCATCGTCTCCTACGGCTCTAAACGTTGCGGCGTTGGAGGCTTCCCCGGGGTCTACACAAACGTGGCTTTCTACATGGACTGGATATTGGATAACATGCGCAGTTAAGTTCTGTGTTTCCGTGTGTAATGTCTAACGGATGTTATATGTAAGGTGATCTACTTAATAATTTAACGTGTAGTTTGTTAACGTTATTGTAACCAAAAACTTCCCGTGCGTTTGAAATAGTGTAGTTCGTATGTTGCTTAGAATGACTAATAAATTACTATAATATGATGTACAACGGCAAAATCTTTAAAAAGATTGGAAATTTGTTCCGCGACTATATGTAAGGACACCTAACAATTTTTATATAGATAGATTATTTTTTCTTGTTTTTTTATTTTATTTTTGCTTCTGGCACAACTTCTCCGGACAGAAACATCTTTGGCATTAAGTCCTGACGGATTTGATATTTGTACAATAAAATTGAAAATTTAAATCTATACTATAATAAAATAGTAGAATCGGCGTGTCTGTGTCGTGTGACATTGAAAATATTTATGAAAAAATTAAATAGGGTATCATAAAAAGAGTTATAGGAAACATAAAAACAACTTTTGGAATTATTGTCTGTCTGTCTGTCTGTCTGTTAGCGATAAACTTGAAAACTACTTATCTGATTTTGATGCAGTTTTCACTGGTTACTTAAGCAAAGCTTGGGGTAACGTATAGGCTTTGTTTCATCTTAATAGGTTCACTCAAACGGGAGATATGGGAGTTCTAAGATGAAAGCTGTGCAGTCGCAAATAGTTATCACAGTTATCCAACTACTGGACTAATTTTTATGGTGTTTTTGAAAGTATTCAAGATTAATTCTGTGCAACATTAAAACTTGTTTTACAATTGGTTCACTCAAAAAAAGTTAATTAAATACTCACTAACTTCCTCGCAATATTTAAGTACCGTAATAAGTTTACTTAAGCAGAATGTATACGTTATTAGCTACTGGATCAATTGGAACAGTTTTTAATTTTTTCAAATGTCATTCTTCCAATACAATAAAAATTACCTTCCATACAAAATGTGCTATCAGTGATATAATTTTTAACCACGATAACTTGAATTTTCAGTTTTATAATAAAAAAAAGTTTGATTTAACAAATTCTTCAATTGATACAATCCAGCATAGGTAAGTTACGATAAGAAGATAAGAAATTAGTTCCCATGCAAAAATTAGATGGCGTTGTTAAATTTCTCCCATATTTTATTTTCATATTTTTCATATTTATTTTCATATTTTCACAAGTTAATTATGGGACAAACGCCGACCATTTGCATTTTAATAATAACAATTCTTCGATTGAGATTTATACGATAGGTATAGGGATGTTCTTGATTTTGCTTTGTGATTTGGTTAGTTGTTAGGAACAGTGGTGAATTTCTCTTTAGGCCAAGTACTCGGCGGGCCAAATGTAGGGGCTGCAAATTGATGGGGGGTTTTTAGTAGCGTTGGTCGCTTTTCGCCTCTCGCTTCTTTGCGTAGGCGATATTCCATAAAAATTATAAGAAATCAAGCGGGCCTGATAAGTAGGTACCTTTCGTCGGCTCCATAATGTCATGTGCTAGCTTTCTTTCTTTCATTTTTTGTGCCTTCCAGCGAGTCTTTTCTCTTAATCTTAAATGAGCCTAAGGCGACCAACGGACAAATCTGTCACTGTTTAGGAATACACATTTGATTAGGCTAGGATATTACGATATTATTAATTTTGCTTCGCGGTATGGAAATTATTGAAATGTTTATTGTCACTGACTCACAAAGTGTATCTGATATTTTTTTTTTGTAATTAACATACTAATTTTGCAGTATTTTCTAAATAATTGAATTTACCTAAAAAAAAATGTTAGATTCGGTATCGATCTTATTGTATTTATTATAAAAATGCCTGGATAGAATTAAAAAGAATGGGAACTCGATTGGATCTCAACAATCTAATGAAAACCAAATACGACTTAATGCTGATACCCATTTCGCCATAGACACTATTCATTATTCATTATCTCGCACATTGGAGTCAGTTATAGGTTATAGAGATTAAAGTAAAGTAAAAAAGGTAAATTTTGACTGAGCACCCGTAGATGCCGTTGACAGAATACTGAAGTACATACACCGAGGGTACACTAGAGTACCTACATACACTGAAAAGTCAATGGGAAACGTTACAGTTGTTTTCTCTGGAGATTTTCGAAACCCTTCCTCTCATTACTCAGGGGACTAAAGCTCTTTCGTTTTCCTTATGATACGAGTATCAGGATAATTCTTGGTTATATAAACGCATTATGCCCACTGCAAGCAGTGACTAAGCCACAAATTAGCCGTTTGAGTTTTTAAGTTCAGTTACTGCAAGTGGTCTTTCTGCATATACAATCCCGCGGAATGTCGGTGTAAAATTGTGAAATGGTGGATTTCATTTTTAACTTCATATAAACGTAACTCTACAAAAACACACAATTCAAGCTGATCGTCTCTGGGTGTGGCTCAGACAAAATTGTGTTTATTTCGCGAATATCACTCGCTTGATCACTGACCATGGCGCAGAGTTGTCAAAACAGTTGATATTTTCACAGATGATGTATTTCTGTTGCCGCTATAACAAAAAATACTAAAAAACAGAATAAAAAAGCCTTTAGGTAGGGCTCCCATACAACAGACATGATTTTTTTTGCCTTTTTTATAGATTATGGTATGGAACCCTTCATGCACGATTGCGACTCGCACTTGGCTGGTTTTTAAATTTATGTAGATTACATATTATCATTTAATCTACACTACGATTAGATATTAAAATTTAATTATCAATTATCATCATTTTACAGGCCATAATATAATTATAGTTAACTATAGTGTCATCCAAATAAGCTGTAGTTTTTTTTAAGTTGATACAACTTTTTTATTTATCAACCGATTTGAATAAAACTAATATTAAATGTTAAGTGAAGTACTACAATGCATTAGTAAAAGTTGCACCCAAATCGATTAAACCGTTTCTGAAATTAACGCGCACAAACGCATGTACACACAGACAACAACTTTAACAACCATTGTTTTGGGTTCTATTGCGTTAATAAAAGGGGACCTTTAATAATAGTTTTTTTCAAATGTCTTCCATATACAGACAAAGACAAGTTACTTTTTAAACTTTAGACATGTTATATTTATAAAATTTATACATATCTGTCTGTATCTGTCTGAATTTTTCGCTTTCACTGTATTCCACACAGACGTAGTCGCGGGCAACAGCTAGTTAATAAATAAAATGGACAAAAAAGCGTAGGCGGTTCACAAGTCATCCCATATATTTTTTACAAAGCGACTGTAGCTTTGTTAAATTGTTTATAATATTTAATTCAAGGAAAACAGTTGAAAGAATCGTAACTTTAGCCGAGGTGCTACATTTTGGTTCAATTATTATTTCATAATGTAATAGTAATATAGGGATAACTTTACTTGTGCAGTTGCTAAGCTGTAAAAGTCAGCGTCGCAATTTGTGGATCGATTCCCATTCGTGACATGTATTTGTGTGGCACACATGTCATTTTTCCGAATTTAGATGTTTGTACAAATTAAACAAAATTTTTGTTTGTGAAACGTCTCTACAACACATGGTTATCTTAGCCTACAGAAGAAGTAATGTTTTTTTGAAGTTATACTTCCTTTGTCGCCTTTGGAAAAAATTATGAGAGTAAAATTTTTATAATCCGCGCGCACACCGACCCCCAAAAAGCGACATATGAAAATGGTTACAAAGCAACTTCGTCGTGCGTCGTGTAACCAATAACAACTTTTGACATTTCCCTATAATTCCAAGTTATAAGCGTTATCATTTGCATTTAACGTATTTTCACAAACAATGAGTACTGGCTTAGTTACCCTAAAGAAGAATAACTTCTTACGTGCGTACATAATTACACACTTTTTTACATAGAATATGATTTCAATCTCCTACCTTTGTCATAGTCACAACATGTACTTACGAAGAATTTACTAGGTCCCTAATCTGTCGGTTATGAAGGGGCCATAAGTATTATGCCGTGTACTTAAAAAAAATTGACTGAATAAAAAGTAACTGACTGTTTATTCAATCAAAATTCAATATGCATTAAATTAAACATTATTTATATTAATCCTTATAGATTTAGTTTAACACATTTTATTTTAGTTACAATAAACAAGAAACCTTTGCTCAAAATTAATTTAATCTTAACGCGGACAACATGTAGTTCTTTTAATAAACAAGCTTATAGTATTAAAACCTTCCGAGGACCTTATTTAATTTTGCAATCTTAGTAATTTTCGTAATTTAGTTAATTCTGAGAATATCTATAACAATAACTCGTTTGACGTCAATATGTTTTCATAATGTTTCCTTATGGTTATTATTCCTAATACTTTCTCTGAATCTCTTATGAGATTTCCTAATACGTCTACGTATTGTGGTTAACAGAATAATGTTTATAACTATATTCCTATCATATCATATCAAATTCTTATAATATTCCTTACATTATTCGAGAAAATACTCTACATCATGAGAAGTAAGATTTCACGCTGTTTAGAGATTCTGATTTATATGATTACTTATTTATTGTGTGGTAGAATACATAACAGTCTTCACTGTTTCACGAATGGGCCAACTTAACCGAAATTATCACGGCCTGGGCAAAGTTGAATTACTTGTCGTTTCATCCAATAAGTGAAGTACCCTTTGCAAAGGTCACAACTCGCGCGTGACCTTTTCAACCGGCATTGCAGGTGTCTATAAATAACGCTTAGACGATTTATATATAGATAGTGTCACAAAGCAAATTAAATATATACAACACGACTTTGCTATCGTGTTAAGCGTGACAGCTGCGTATTACACTCGTGATACGACATTTTTACTTTCATAGTGTGCGTATGTAATTATGATTAGGTGATTTTAAAATGGTGACCAGTTATTTAACCTAATATTAGAATAGGGAGACATATAATAGTTTAGAGTATATTTTAGTCGACAAAAATGTTGTTAAACCAAAATAATAAATGTGTATGAATTTTGTTTTGATTTTGAAGAAACTAAATA